TTAATAAGAAGCCTGGAGTATATGTTCATGAAGAGTGGGGCCTACTTAATATCCCCAACGAAAAGATTTAGAGAAAGTCTCCTTCCTTATTAAGATGCTCTTTATTAATTTATACATTTCCGCTACATTTTCTCTATTCTATAATGTATTATGCATCGAACCTGGATGTCTTAAAAGATGCTGGAGAACAGAGCATTCTGATTTCCTTTCATAATTACATTACCAGGCAAAAAGCCACTGAAGTGAATTAAGATTGTTAGAAGGACCTTCAACAACATTTTAGAGACCTTATAGTCTTTACTCCATAGAAAAGTAACACAGTCATCACTGAATTTAGCTTCTACAGCATGTCAACGTTCTCCTTTAGCTTATCACTGTGCGTCTATGTTCAAGGAATTGTGCGATTAGTCAGTTCAAGTCAAGAGATTATCAAGGTAAGAGGGAGAATCCCCCATATAGGTCTTATACCAAAGGTAATCTCTCTTAAGTCACTTTTAGACATGGTACCCATGGCTGTCCACGCATCGCGCGAGTAACATTCTCGGAATAACTGGGCACCATATCTAAAAATAACTTAAGAGGGATTACCTATGGCATAAGGCCTATATGAGGGATTCACTCTCTTACCTTAATAATCTCTTGGTTCAAGTTCATAAATAATTCCATAGAGAATGTGGCCCACTTCAAGCGCTGGTTTCTTCCATTATCTTTTACCACCTTACTTACGTTTCGATTATGTTGAAACTGCTGAACAAGATGTTCAGAACTCGAGAAGAAAGCAACCACAAAAATTACATGCAGAGGCACTTGCTAGTTTCCATTGTAAAGCCTTTGTGTGTTGCTCGATGAAATGAGTACAAGTCTAGCAACGCAAGTCAATTCGTGTAGTTTTTTAGCGGTAATAAGCTCTTTAGATGCGAGCGCCCACTTCTTTGTTGAGGAGGATTGATCGCTTTTTAAAGTTCATAGCAGGCTCAGCATATTAACTTTACATCTATTGTTTCGTATGCGTAATCCTCATCTTCATCTTTGGGACACTGAAAATCACGGAAAAAGCAAAGTTACTCAAGAAAGAAGAGATAGCTATTTTCTGGACAAGAAAGGCCGTAGTAAAGTGGCAAGGACCACTCAAGTGCGTCCCAACTGCCAAAATAACATCTCGACAACGGCCTGTTAGTCAAAGACTGACGAATAGTGGTATACAAAGCCCCAATTCAACCTCTTCAAAACAGCCACTTTCCCCTATCCTCAAGGTGGCAGTTGTGGGGAGAATCGACTGTATTATATGTACAACCCCTTTTGCTCGTACCAAATCCCCACCGCAGTATGTTATCATTACATATCTCTCCCATTCCCAACAAGACGTCACCATGCAAGGAATGAACTACCTTCAGCCTCTTCCAAACAACTTATTCCAAGAGGTTGATGTGGGTTTTTCCTCAGTTCGTCTTAGCACCTTGTCTCCCTGGGACAACACCACAGCCACTCGAACCGGAATCGCCTTGGGAACGCTTGACTGTTCACGTGGCTCACAACTACGACTCAGCCGTCGCTTAAGGGCACTCTGCAAAGGAAATGTCACCTCGTAACGTCAGTAACAACATCCAGCTTAAGATAATGCCGTTTGCCAGATGTAGGCTGCTTATGCCTCAGTAAAGATTCCAATCAATGCCTCATTCGTACCTATTTTCGCGCGTCTCAATATCACCATAAAAACTTTATAAAATCAAACATTTACATTCTACGGCTGTCTTCAAGATGACAATCGGGTGTTTTAACTTATCACTCAAGGATATTGGCAATGGATGGGAGAAAGTGGAGATAGGACGATTCACCGTTGGGCACCTTGTCTTAAAGATCTTGTTTAAAATACTTCAGTACGGTATTATTGTATCGTCCCTGTCGCACGAAATATTACCTGGCTACTTGTGAAGTACACAACCAACCTCTTGCAGCGTATTTCAATAACGAGTAGGATTAAGGAGATAATGACACCACCCAACAAAACTAGGAACACTCCGGCCATGTTATTGACATCAAGACTCTGTGTTTTCCCTGTTTTGGACTGTGATGGTTTTGGACACTGGCTACGTTCATCCCACCATTTTCGACGAGTCCTCTCGATAAAGTATCTCTCACGTAACTGTAAGGACATAATGACACGAGATTAAGGAGAAAACAATTCTGCACTAGGGCGAAATTTGCCAGATCAAACCAGTACTTTCTCCGTTTCTGTACCTGATAAGGAGATTGGGAGTATCACTTCCCCCACCTGGATTAGGTAAGGGTCTATCGAGATCGCTGGTTTCCCCTCGAGCGTGTTGACAGGTTTTACTATAAAACTTATGCTCCCTTATAAGTAAAGAGAAAAATTGTGAGAGGCGAGTGCCTTGCCTAACAACACGATATGTAGTCACTAGTTGTCAATCCACTTTCGGTCAAAAATCTCAATTAACTTCAGCTTCAAATTCGTCAGCAGAAGGCGAAAAGCAGCATCTTACATGAATTACTGCTCAATATCTTTTATTTGTATGGCAGCGTACTAAAGGTTTCATCCACTGGCCACTTTTCCTGAGTGGAGCCACATTAAGTGACAAGATTTGCAGTTCAGTTTGAACCAGGGACGATGGGTTTTGATTATAAAGAGTTAATGAACCTTATACTGGTTTAGTTCAACATCAAACCTCGTGCAAAGAAACGGCCTTTAAATTTAAAGATAAGAATATATACGATTAAATAACTCGTCACTCGCCGCTAAAATTGCCACAGAAATTCTGTTTGTGTAGGGCGAATTCTGCTGCAAGCCAATCCCATAGCCCTTGGCTTGTAGAAGGTTGTTCAGCAACCTTGTATTGCACGGTTTTTGCTGATTGTAGTATTCCAGGTAGGGCTGTTCAGTTATGTAGGCGTAGTTTTCGTTCCTCGCTTTCTTAACGCCCTCTGAAGTAGCATTCACGAATGTCTGGTGCTCCCTCATATGCGAGAACATTTTTAGATAAAGAGGATCTTCCGATTCCTTGAAGAACTTCTGCACAGAGCCATTGCTGAGAACTCCGTATTTAGTCTCGTTTTGATTCTCCAGTTCCTCCAGGGAGTTAATAGTTTTCACGGTTCGTTTTACTTAAAGAAATAAAAAAGAAAACCATGTAGTTCTTCATTCATTTTCCACGAATGCAAATCTTATGCAGCAGTCGCTTGATTATCGTGAAGAATGTCTAGACATCATTAATTACAGTTCAACCTCAATTAACGGCCACCCTCGGGAAAATGAATAGTGGCCGCTTAAAGGGGGCTGGCCGCTTAATAGAGGTAACAACAATAGAAAAACCATTAATTATTGTGACTTTGATTACTGGCTGCCTAATAAGGGTAGCCGTTTAATAGGTGACCGTTTAATAGGGCGACTGTTTTCATAGCCGGCGAAGCGGTAAACTTTAATGCGAACGCGCGTTTAAAAGGTTAGAATAAGAGAAGAAAGGGCCCAAATCAAGTTGCCTTGGCAAGGATCGCTTTTCTGACTTTCTGAAACCCTGACATAGACTTCCGAGATGAGTAATGATTCGATTAAGCTACAATTTAAGCCTAAAACGAAAGAGATTTGTGTCACATTCTTGTAGTTATTGTTTAGTTAGCCTCTAACACTGGACGAACTATCAACAGGCCACATTCGATATATCAATATCCTAACACGGCTCCGAGGCTTTCAGGACAAACTTCTATATTTCTGTGGTTTTCTTTGTATCCAAGTCTCTTTTGGGAATTAGGAGACAAAAGAAACTTTAAAAATGTATAATTTTGACCCGAAAGCCTCGGAGCCATGTTAGAATATTGATATATCGAACGTGGTCTGTTACTAGAGAAACATAGAACTGGACTGTTCTGAAGAACGGGATAGTCCTTCTAGAAACGCTCGACTGCAGCTCGCGACAAGCTCAGCCGTGTTTGCATCATTCTATGTAAACACATCAATACTTACTGGTAAAGAAAGCAGCAAGGTTTGCTGTGTAAGTTGATATTAGTATCATTATAAAAAACCAGAAGGCAGAAGCTAACAGCCGACCAGAAGGCGCCAGAGGGGTGTTGTCCGGACCTTGCTGCAGAACGGAAGCTGTAGCGAACCACAGGCTGTTCAACAGGTTGAACTCATTTCCAGGCTCTTCATCTGATTCTCGAGCTCGGGCACGGTAACCGAAGGGGCTCAAATAGTCGATAACAAACATCATTACTGTCATGCCGATGACCTGAGACAAAATTCAACTTTTTAACCTGTGCCTTTGCTGAATATAATGCAACATGCAAATACTGCCGCATCGTCAGCCTTCTCCTTCTCGTTAAGTTGACAATTTTTCGCAAAATTGAAATCCTTCGTCGCTCGGCATCTACGACCGCCATATTGAAAAGTCTACGTTTAAAACATTTTCTGCTGACGGACATAACCGACAATATTACTGAATTCTGTATTAAGTGCGACACAAGTGAAACATATGAATCGACAGTCGCACTTCTGCCGCACTTAATTGAATTGAATTCAACACGGCAGAAGGGCGACGTATGAACCAGGCCTTACTCGAAAAAACAACTTAAATGCTCTATTTTATCCCCAACTATGAAAACTTGTCAGAGATCGGACACCGTTAGCGTGGAAAACAAGCATTAATAATCATAATTCGTAGATACATAAACTTTGAAAACTTATTATGAGGGTAAACGTTACCACTCCGACAGTAGAAAACCATACGCCACCATTAAAAGGCAGAAGAAAAGCGAATATGTTAATGGGCGGTTCTCCCGGTTTCTGCATGATCAGACTCATGCTGAAGTCCATAAATGGCTTGCTGAAGTCAATAACCAACTCGCGCTCTGCCGTTATCGTGATAGGAGCAAGAGCAATGTCTTTTTCCTGCAAAGGGAGAGAAAAAAAAATAAATAAATAAAAAATAAAAAAACAGGTTTAAAACAAAAGCAATAATGGGTACCCTAGAAAAACGTCAACACGTTGTACTAGCAAACTTGTGGTTCTATAGGAATAGAACAAGGCCATATAAATGATTCTGTGTGGACTGCTTATTTTAGGCAGTTTATTATCTGAATGAGTAATTCTTCTGCATTTAATTAGAAAATTGTTAAGAATAACAGATCCAGGATTTGAAAGATTTTAGCTGGTATAGGTATACCTGCGTGTAAAACGTCTCAACTACAACGACGTGAAACTCAAAACAAGTTCTTCAGCCATCAAGATTTGTAAATTCAGTATTGTATTGATGTAAAATGCAAATTTGTTATTATAGCACTTTTTGTGGCTCTGCAGGCTATAAGATGATCTTTATACATCCCATACGTTAAGAAGGCTTTGAATTAGGAAAAAAATAGGTGCAATTAATTACACGTATTATACACGCCTATAAATTATGCGAGCAATGTTACCTTCTTTTTCAGCTCCTCCACCATTCCTCCATAGCTTTTATGCAAATAAATCTCGTAGTCGAAGTTTGCTTCTTTCGACAATTCCTTGATCAAATCCATACAGAAGCCTTGAAGAAGATTTTTAGGAACTCTGCCGGTTGGTAAAGGCATTGACTCATTTACTTTCTCGACAAACGGCGGCTCCTAGTAAGAACCAATGAACATCAGTGAATAGGCATTTTAAAGGTGGCTGAAAACAATTTCCAGCACTTTCCAAGACGTAGATTTTGATGAGTCTTTAATACCACTCTTTATCAGTTGATGCTACAATCATGGAACCAAAAAACTGCCCAATCATTGGAGAACACGTTGTAATCATTTTCGTGACTCAATAGGTCACTATAACAACAATATGATCTACTAAAAACACCCTTAATTTTAGCTTCAAGAAATTGTATTTCGAAAACGGCACGGCTAAACCTTTTTTACAATGGAATTTTGATAAGAATGATACGATTTTGTACGAAGGGTTCAGAGTCGTGTTAAATTTTAGGTGGCTCCATCAGTATTAACCTGACTATCTTTGGAATTATAAATTTCAAATCTCTCTCACCAAAACAGTTGTAACTTTCAACACTGGGATGGCCTCTGGCTCCTGGGGCTGAAGATTCCCCGGATTGTGGCACTTGACAAATTCAGCGAAGTCCCCCACCCACCGGGGCGTTTTGTCCTGTAATGACACGCGATGTTCTTTCATTCCAGGTTCCGGCTGCCACGAGCCGATCTGAGAAAGGAAGAAATAATTGCTACGCAAGGACAGGTATGAAGGTACAAAAAATATTATTTCAGAGCTTGACATTGCCTGCTTGGGAAATGACAGCTTCGTAATTTACTCTAATTTGGTAACCTTGATAATTTAGTTCAGTCCTTGTCAGTTGTGTTGGAGCTAAGTTCCAGCTTGGTCGATCGAGAGTTCCGTTATGAGCCTAGTACCGCTGAATTAAACAAGTACTGCAAGCACCCAGGTTAGTTACCGTGAAAAGCTTTGGACTTACCACCTCGTACAAACCTTTTCTACGTTGTGTTCAAGAACGTTTAAAATGTCCAGACCGCTGTGAACTCGTCGCTCGCCCGTAACCAAGTTGAATTGCACCTCGCCGGTAAGACCTTGAAACTTCACCTTCAAATACAATTGAGAAAAAAAGTAGCGCTTTGGTATCGGTGCAATGAGTCATGAAAGATACGTCTATAACAATTAATTGATCAAAGTGGAAGTTGATGAGAGTGTTAGGGACAAACAGGGAATTTAGAAATATAAGGCCATATATCAAACGCGTTCCTGCTCGGTACCCTCTGCAAACGTCATCTTCACGTGCTAAGCGCAGACGTGGCAGAATCTGACGTCACATATTTAGTCGGTTTTTAACGTCACCCAGTAACGCGGTTTCTCAGCATAAAGGTGTTAGGAGTACTGCTTCTCTCACTTTGATGGGATCAGTTTTTCCATGACAGGCTGCTCCCAGAGCCATCTTGAGTTGGTAGACATAGATAGAAAGGTACTATGAGAGGTAATAATATTGGGCTCAAACTCTAAACCACCCAATCTACAGCCTATTATACAGCCTAATTATACGCCTAATTATACAGTAAAACCTTATCTCCATTTAAAGCTGTTTTTACCTTTTTGAGCTGATGCAGAAGCTTCCAACCTAGTCCCCCATGCCAAGCTGACGCACTTCGTAAAGGACACTCACTATCAGTGAAATGGGAATCCATTGACTTCATACCCTCGCGGCCACTGTTCATTAAATTGTGCACCGCTGTTGCCACAGCGAGTGCAGCGTCATGCACTGATGCGTACATGGCCTGTCAGAGTTGATCGAACAGATTAATTTGGTTCGCTTTATCCTTGACTAGAAAGCTGTGCACACTCAAAGCATATTTTGATTTTGAAAATGCGTTTATTTAGGGTGGGTCAGTGTGAAACGTGTTCTAGATGAAAGGTAGCCTTTTGATTGGTTTAGCGAAAGCGATTTATTTTATTATTATTATTATTATTATTATTGTTGTTGTTATTATTATTATTATTATT